CTTGTTCCTAGTAGCGTCGTTGCTCCTAGTAGCGATGCCCTTTGTTCTAGTAGCGTCCTTGCTCCTAGTAGCGATGTCCTTTGTTCCTAGTAGCGTCCTTGTTCCTAGTAGCGATGCCCTCTGTTCCTAGTGGCATCCTTGCTCCTAGTAACGTTGCCCTTTGTTCCTGGTAGCGTCCTTGTTTCTAGTAGTGATGCCCTTTGTTCCTAGTAGCGTCCTTGCTCCAAGTAGCGATGCCGTTTGTTCTTAGTAGCGTCCTAGCTCCTAGTAGCGAACTCCTTTGTTCCTGGTAGCGTCCTTGTTTCTAGTAGCGATTCCCTTTGTTCCTAGTAGCGACTTTCTTGTGAGTTCTACCAGATTCATAGCCACTGGTTGTGGAACAGAAGAAAATCTGGACCATTTGCCAACGGGATTTTTAACGCAGACCAGACAACCTCCCAAAACGTCTTGTTTCTACATGCTTTTGGAGATGAGCTTTGAGTTGTTGAATTAACTGTCGACCTAATTCTTTCTCACTTAGTTCCTTCAGTCTCTACAGCATCTCATCCTCCCTCTCCAAGCGCATCTCTCTCAGCGCCGTCCCCCTCTTGGCACGATCAGCCCATGCTGAGTTTTTTGACTTCGAAGACGAAGGCATGTCACCCATCTTGGCGCCCTGGACGGCGAGGGGGTCGGGACTGAGCGGCATGCATGAGACGGCGCGGGTCACTGGCAGTGTCCATTTCATTCTGCTTCGTTAACCGTGTTTTTGTCCGGAGAGGATTCAGGCAGTTGTGTGAGGCTTTCTTTTGATGTCTTTTTGAGGGAATCGAAGGATCTTCCCGTCTTGCCCCGTTGCTTTGGTCAACATGGCATGGACGAACACAGAAGCTTCTAGCAATGGCCTCCAACCTACTAGCGATGGCCTCCAACCTAATAGCAATGGCCTCCACCCCAGTAGCAATGGCCTCCTGGATGGACTGAAGCTATTTTTTCTCTGGCTCGACCCCATGACAGAGATCTTGGAGATTTTGTGTTCTGATCAATCGAAGACCCTGGAGCCACTGGATTATTGTGGCATCATCGAAGCCCTGTTCAATCCATTGGTGTTGAGTCTAGCTGCCCTTCGCCTAAGGATGCCAAGATCAAGGACACCGGAGTCTTTTTTTTTAAAGTTACATGGGCCAAAAGGCGTGGGCCTTGTTCTTCAAAGTGACCTTTTGATATCCCTGTTTGAGGTCACTTGGGCCTGTAAAAGGTCACTTAGGCACTCCAAAGAGGTCACTTTGAAGAAGCTGGGGTGACGATTTGATGCATCAACTCGGAGGAGTGATGCAGCGGGGATTTTGCAAGACTTTCAGAGGTTTGATCCTGCCACCTTTACTTCGCATTTTGGAGTCTCAGATTCGGATGATATGTGTTGGGTCTGTCCTATTACCTGTAACAGTCGGTAGACATTTATCACTATTTTGGAGAATGGCCTGCTACTGAGCCATCATTGATCATCCACTGGTGGATAGACCCAAGATATGAGGCCGGTATCGAAGAAATTCAGACTGTGGACTACTTGTAGAGACTACCCGTCATAGACTACTGTAGTTCACCAAACTGCTTTTGGGAGCCTTCTTAGGCAGTGGAAACGTTTCCTCGTGCTTCCGTACTGTGGTTTCGTCCCAAGTGGATGCGCTGTGGGCAGGAAACGATGCGGCAACAGCGCTTGCAGGAGGAGTGGCTCAAGAGCGCGGAAGCTTTGGCTGAAAATGGCTGACCTCCCTAAGGTTTTGAAGTTCTATTTTTTTTATCCCACAGAAGCAAACCACACACTTAGATGGTTGCTCGCAAGAGCTAGGATCAGTACGAAGTCCCACTTTACACGCATTAGACCTTGACTGAAAAAAGCGCAAAAGGAAAGGTGATGGGTCCGCAGATTTGAAGGTGTTTTAACAATGGTTTGCAATTCCTGATAGGCTAGGTGACAGCTTAAAAATTCCAGCGTGGTCAAAATTGGACTAAAGTTCCGCTTTCTTTGCCAGGGTCGCTTCTTTCTTTGTGGCTCCCCCCCGGCTGTTCCTTTCCATCCCCGGATGCAAAACCTGGCGTTAACCAAGGCTTCTAGCTTTACCGAGGTGCAGGCGCGCCCGTGCTCGACACCACTCCAAGGACATTCCACGATGCACAGTGGCCAGCAAGGACCTGTCGTTGCCTTGCCTGACGTGAGTGTTGGGCTCATGACCTGCGTTTCAGGTGTTCTCTACCCACCCACACAAGTGAGCACACCCACTATTCAAGACTGCCTCTACTCATGTGACGCGTGCACCTTAATGGCTGTGCACATTTTTCAAACTCCCAACCTGCTGACTTCACCTTGGCAGCCCTCTAAAGCTGTACATAGAAACGTCCAGAGTCGGTAGAGTGAAAGAGACTGCAAAAAGTCTGACGGGAAGTGGAACGGAATGCCTTTGGAACAGGTGGTGACACACACACACACAGGGAGTCCCACGACCTGTAACAGTCGGCAAAAGATTATCACTATTTTTGAGTCAGGTCTTTACTTGGGATATACGTATCTGGTTCTACACCTCTCACACACACATGTATCATTTCTTCGTGGCGTTCACACGCGTTTTAGCGCCTCTTCCAGAGTCCAACGGTAGATTCAGATGTCATGAGTCAAAGTATGTCCAAGTGGGCCAGAAGATTCCACGTGTCTTCAAATGATCATGTTTCCTTAGCCAGCTGGACAATCAACTCAGGAAAAGGCAGCCTTCAAGATCCAAGCAAAAGCCCGACTCTTCCTCAGGCAAGGCACGTGGCGTGGTTCGAACACGGGAACTGCGAGGTGCAGAGGTGCAGACTTGGGTAGATCAAGAGAACCTCGAACCATTCTGAAGTGTCGACTTGCGGTTGGTTAAAGCCCTCCGGCCCTCAGCCATGGACAGACAGAAGAATCCACGCTTCCCAATCAGTCGATCTCCTCTGCTGCAGCACCCCCCACCACCCGCTCCCACTGCTGGAGGTCGTTGCGCCAAATAGAACTTCCCTCGCCAGGGGAATGGGGCAAATGCGCACCGTGATTTATGGCTATTTTCAGGTCGGCTTCGCGACGACCACCTGCTGTGTGGGAGAACGGGCCAAAATCATTCTGAGGACACATGGATTCCCCCCCCGTGTGATCACCAGGGTAGCCGGGGCTCAGCCTCTGAGGCGTATGAAGTCCATGTGAGGCGCCCCAGGTGCTGTGACCAGCCGCAGGAGACCGGCTGCCAGTCTACAGACCCATCGGCTTCGACGCCATGTTTTTGGGTTTGGATGGTACACGGTTGATGAATCAAACCCTCCATATGAAGGGTTTTTTACAATCCATGTCTGCAGGGGTTGATTCGGAATGATTCGGATTCATCAAGATTCTTCAGTGAAATCATGGTCCCTAACCACTAGTGAGTTGCGGTGTCCTGAAGTGAGGGGTTCCTGGTGTGAGTTGCCGAGTTCAACATGATGGGGATCTTTGGTTTTTTGCCGTCGCAGAAGAAAACCCCCACGGTGATGTTGGTCTCGGGAGGAAACAGAGAAGCTTGGCAATCCCGAAATAGAGAATGGGGTGCGATTTCGGCCTCAAGAACTGCATGAAGTCTTGGGTGGTGCAAGGTGCTGGACCTGGAAGGCCCATCTTCTGCTTTCCCTAAGAAGGACTTGGCTTTGAAACCGGTGATATACTGGATTGCCCATCCTGGGAAGTAGCTCCAAACATTGTTGCAACTGGGCTGGAGGTGTACCAAAATGCAAAATAAAAAAACGATAGAAAGACACACCACGTACATTTTGTCACAAAGAAAGACATGGGGGCTTTACATGGCTTTGCGACTTCCCTTTCTTGCTTTACATGGCGGGATCCAAGCAGGGCCGACCGGCATCACAAGTGGCATCTTCCATACAACATCTGATGTCTTCCACACAACCGGGACATGTTGGAAGAGCAGGTGGTCTTGAAATGTCAGTTGCTCCAATCCAAACTCATCATTTTCCCAACTGCTTGGTCTCGTGAGGCACCATGCTGCCACTTGTATTCAGAGAGCCTTCCGCCGGAAGATGGAGCGACTCGGTGGCCCTCTGCGCAGGTCAAGTGGGAATTGGGAAGACGGTGAGACTGGAAGCCCTCTTTGCACCAATGCGCACCAGTTTCTGGTCGAATTCCATGGTGTCAGGCTGAGTTTCAGGTTCAAGCATCAAGTTACAGACATCGACACTGACTTCAGTGTTGGGCTTTCCTATTGTAATCCCTTTGCTTGCTGTCCAATGCAGGGTTTTCCCCTCAGGGCGCGGCAGTCGGCTAGCCGCACCCAGGAGCCACGAGCTGGAGGAGCACGAGGAGCCGGAGCTGGAGGAGCGGAGAGTGGGAGAGTGAGGGGGTTGGGGAACAGGTCCATGACCAGTACGGATGAATCACAACCGTGAACCCCACGAGAACCACAGAAGACCCAAGGGATGATGTAGATGATGACTTCAGTGGACACGAGGGAGTGCACTTGGTGAGGCGGTGGTGGGATGGACGGTTCCCACCATTTAGTAGACCACGGGGAGGAGTTTTGACCCACCTGCTGGTGTGAGACCCACGAGTCATGGCCGATGGAGTCATCGTTGGACAAGCTTCAGAGGAAGAGCTGTAGGAATTGATTGCTGCTTTGGTATCATGGTGTGTATTTCCCCTACAGATAGAGCTGGAGCAAGCAGGCTCTTTTTTGATCTGTAGAATGCGGGACCCAAGGCTTACCCCAATATTAACACAGGGATGTTTTGGTGCGTTTGGTAGGAGCGACCAAGGGTCCAGACCATGAGACTGGTTGAGGGCTGGTTGAGGTCCATTACACACCAAGAAAGACTCCATTGAAACGACCACGAGAAAGACTGCACGACCTTCTCACTGTTTCTGTTTTTTCAGCAACAGAGCAGTTCATGCGTCAATGTCGATTGGACAACGAGCCCAAACACGCTGCTAGACTCTGCTAGACAGTTGGGGGTCTCAGCAGAAAGTACAAAGGTTGGAGGCGGCCATCGCTAGTAGGTTGGAGGCCATCGCTCTTAGGTTGTAGGGGGGCACCCTAAAAGTCATCACGCAGTCCGCTGAATTCGGTCAAATGTCCCCTTGTTTTGGATCGCTTGATCGCTTGGCTGACCAGCCCTGCCGAGCTGGACAGCCTACGAAGGTGGACGACAGCCTCGATGAATACCTTGAACATATGAATACCTCTCTCACTCTCTTGTGAATGAGAGGGCATTGAACTGGTCTTGATGCCGGGATGATTGATCGAAAGATAGTTTGGTCTTATATAATGGTCTCATCACATGTTTTCATTGAATGACAAGCAACCACTCAACAGTCGAGGTTTCGAGAGACTTCACTCAGAATGTCGTGTTGTGACCTGGTGGATTTACCACCACGCACCAAGCCCCCCCGCGGCTCGTCCGCAGGAGGTGGAGGAGGTGCGCACCGTAGTGGGGAAAGAGACGAGTTGGGTCAGGCTGTTTTGAAAGCCCCAATGCAGAGAATAGTTGGCCAGAAAAGACCTGTTGTCGGTCTGTATTGAACCAAAGACACCCGTGGCTGTGAATCATCCTGGTGGACGTTTCATGGACACCTCCAAAATGTTTGGTCCAGGATCACAACGAGCAGCTCGCAGACGCTGGGCCACAGGCCAGCGAGAAAGGCTCGGGGCATGCTTTCGGAGAGGGCGTTCTTTGTGGGGAAGGCCTTCAGATGTTCAGAGGGGAACCGAAGGGGTGGACATGCTTTTACTTTTTGATCCTTTCGTACCCGAACTCCGCTGGAAGGTTAAACAAACACGATGTTTGCTGCGGAACATCGAACATTGACGATGTTCGAGACTGATGGGGTACTGTAATGGAGAAGGAATCGCAGGTGCAGGAAGAGGCAGAGAAGCTGTGCTGTTTCCCCAAGCGATTCAACTCTCAGATCGCCGAGTTCAGATCGGGAAGTTCAGAGATTGACCAGAGATCCAGATTTTCAGGAACCTGGTGATTATGGAACACCATGCAACACCCTGAAGATCCTTCAAGTTTTGTGTTTTTTCTCATAGGGAGACCTCCCAGGCGTTCCGATTCCCTACTTCCAGGAAGAAGGAGAATAGACCAGTCTACCGGGCCAGGGGATCTTCCGGATTTAAAACAGACCATCGCAAGTAGGTTGGAGGCCGTCGCTACTAGGGCGGAGGCCATTGCTTCTTACTACATTACAGTATATATGTATATATACATATATGATCATATATGATATCTATGTATGTTTCTTTTTTATGGTTAAACTCGTTGTTTTTCTTGTCACTGGACAGGAGACGTCGCAGCCGGAGGATGCAAGGATGCACCTGATGTGTCCAGTCCAAGGGTCGCTCCACGAGGCCGCGTTCTATGGTGAAGTGATGGAATCGAGAAAGAGGTGGCACACCTTTGGAGGGCAGATTTCAGCATGTATATATATAAGCATATACAAGCACATATGTATATATTATATATGTTATGCATATATTTCACATTTGTGTTCTCTGTATACACACACACACACTGTATAACTGATTTATGTTGTATATTTGGATATGAAAACTCGATTAGATGGTTGTGGTGTGGAGTAATTTGTTCAATGGAGCTCTGTGGGACATTGATCAGATGGAGCTCTGTACGCTTCAACCGGGACATGAGCGAGGCGGAACGGACCGTTTCGAGCGATCAACCTGGAAGGTTCGATCTTCCAACTGGACTTCGACGCAGATACTCCCAAGTTATCCGACCTCAAGAAGGCGCAGTGGATGTTTGGGGTGGACGGGAGGGATTTGGACAAACACGACTTCGGTTTGCGCACTTCGCACCGTGTTTCGAGCTTTTGTTGGGTCGAAACCAAGCGATGACACGTGGGGGTCCCACGTGAAAAGACGCATGTTGCAATGACATCGAGGTGGAATGACCCACAAAAGACCAGCACTACCCAGTAACTGGCCACCCTTGGGGTAGTGGTACGACTTCCTGCGACAATGGTACGACAAGCATCCTTTTGTTGTAAGCACCCCGGTCACCTTTGAGTTCTTTGGGTACAGCTGGAGAGTTTCGCTGGCAAGTCCTGCACCGCAAGAGAATCCCTGGAGTGGACGGGGTCCAAGTGCTGGAAGAGTGCTGCAGGAGTGCTGCAAGATCACTCACCACCTTTTGACCATTTTTCATAGTTCTCCAGGAGCACTCCTGGTCGCTGGTGACTGGTGCGAATTGTTGGTCTACTGGTTGGTCAGTGCAGCACCTCTGTCCTGTCCTCACTCCCATCCAATCCATCCCCACTTCAAGTTCACGACGTCAGGTCGCCTGGTGAACTGCCACGTGGGACGTCTCCGCCTCCGCCTCCGCAACCCGTCCTCTCAGGCCTTGAGCCGGGCCTCTCGCATCTCACGGAGCCACTCAGAGCGCATGGCCAGTGGCACGGGAGGCCGTTTCGGACCACTGAAGGACCAGAACACTTGGAACCAGCAGGGGTTGATCAACTCGTTTGTTTCACCCTAGTGGGGTTGTGATTGGCTTGGAGCCATGGTCCTAGAAATGGGTCAGGCTGGCCACTTCCGATGTATACCAGTTCAAGAAGGGAATCCCGGTTTCTGGGCACAGGTGGAAAGCGCTTTGATGGCTTCTGGTGCATCCAATGCTCGGCCCATCTTGTTGAGCGTTACTCACTTGATCCTTGGTTTCATGTGGATTTGCTAATTTGGCGGTTCCACATCGGATGCCCAAACCAAGCCCATTCAGCTGGGTGTGCTACGTCGTTGACTTCGGCAACTTTCATGCCAAACACTTTATGTTGTTGTTGTTGTTGTTGTCCAAAGGAAGGAACAACTCCATGGATCCCTCCAAAGCCACCCCCACGACCAGACCATCTTTTTCCACGTATCCTCGGGCGGGCCGTCTCCCCTCCAAGGATCGACGCACGTCTCGAAGGTGGAGCAGGAGCTTCACGAGGTGACTGACATCAATGGGATTCAATGGGTGTCTATTCAATGGGATTCAATGGAGACCTCCAACCAATGGTGTTCTCTATTTTTGCAGATTTTGGGCGGCTTTGCGAACACCTGCCTGTATTAGGCGTTAAAAAACATTGTTTTTTTTCCGCGGGCCCGCGTGAGGACGACACACTTTTGCTCCATTTTCCTCTGGTGCGTGCGGTGTCTTTCACTGGAAGATCTCCCTATTTGAGCTGCACACCCACACATCACCTGGTCTCGCCCCGATCGCCTGGGTAGATGGGTCGGTTTTCCCTTCTTCCTGGAGGTTTGGGGTCGGAAGGCCGGCCTAGGAGGTCTCACTTTCTCTCAAGGTGTTCCACGGTGTTCCCAATCTCCTGGGAACCGAAGGGATGAGTGGCACTCACTTTTTCTGACCACCCATGGGTCCCCCAATGGGTCCACCCATGTCCTTTCCTGAACCTTTTCCAAACGGTCCTTTCCTGAACCGGGGTCGGTCTCCCCTTTAGACAGACACAGACGCACACGGACCTGTTTGGGACCTGATTCGGCGGGTGAAGCTTTGGGGCTGGGTGGGGTGGGGCCCTAACCGTAAAAAGTGGCGACCGGCTTGGCTTTTTCGGTGTCCCGTGAACCTTTTATCCCAAATTCTGCTGGGACCTCTCCCCACGGTCGGACCCTTTCAGCACACGCCGTCCAGGGCTTCAGAGTCGAACAGTCGCCAGGTGGTGACGGCAGACAGTGCTTCACTGGTAGTGCAAAGTCTGGTCTTCTGACGTCTTCCTTCTCATTCGGGCTGCACCACTTCATACTAGGTATGATCATCCTTCCCTCCCAAGTATCTCAAGTATCTTGCTCTGTCTCAGATGAGTGGCTACAAATCTGCCGGTGGTGTTCGTCGTCTGGAATCCACTCAATTGGAGATGGGTGATGATCTTGGCATCGGCCGTTCTTTTCCAACTGAGACTTGGTGCAGAAACGACCGAGGATGAATTGGGCTGCTCTCGCTGGATCTCGGGGCGTTCAATCGTGCGATCCGGCGAAGGGTCGCCCACAGGGTCCCGCTTGCCTCTCGCAAGGCACTGGAGAGCCGCTCACGCTCGCAGTCGCGGGAGCTGTCCGGGCCGCAGCATGAGAACTTGTGAGATTTGGAGTTCCTAGTAGCGATGGCCTCCACTCCAACCTACTTGCGATGGCCTCCACCTAATAGCGATGGCCTCCACCCTAGTAGCTTCTTGTTCCTCAAAAGGAAGGAAGAAGCTGATCGTTGGAATCCTAGAAGTGGGGTCTGTGAGTGGAATTCAAAGAACATATGGGCACCCCAGAGCCCTTCCATCAACCATGCTTTTGCAGGCTGGGGGATTATATAAATACAAGTAACAAGTGATAAGTAAAATGAGATCCTTTCCCGACAGGGAACGTGTTGTAGAAGCTCCACAACGATTTTTGTGTGTGGTGGAAGATGTAAGTTTCCCTCCTAAAGACTCTCTTATGCACACGGCTTTAGTGGGCAATATGGGGCACTGATCAAACTCGTTGGTAAACAGACGCAAGAACAACTTCATGGCCTACTGCTGGGTTTCATTTTTGAGCCGTACTCACATGCTTCGCTACTATACGTGTGCTGCTAAAAGATGGAAGTCGCTTGAGCACTGCTTGTTGAAAAGGTTGATTTGAGTTCACATTCTTGCTGAAAGCTGGCCTGGATCCTGCGCTGGTCCAGAAACAGGCTTACGTTCATTGAGACTTCAGCCTTCTAGCCCACACACAGTTACGAGACAGGCTGGGTCAAGCCCACTGCTGGGATCTTGGAAGATCAAGCTGGAAGCAGTTCCAGTGGCTGCCCAGTGGCACCTCTGCGATCTTGGACCGAGTCAACTCTGTCACCTCCTCCTCTCAATTGATGAAAGCTGCACCGGGGGGTTCGTGCACCGATCACCCCAGCGATCGACTCCCTGGTTGACTGAGAGATACACTCCCTTGCTTCATCACTAGGAGCGATTGGACGCTACGAACGTAGCTCCTGGCCTTACTACTAGTAACAAGAACGCTACGAACGTCACAAAGGGCATCGCGAACCGAACGGAACTAAGGGCAAGAAGCTACGAACGGAACTGGAACATGGCCCCAAAGACTCGGTTGTCATTCCATGTTTCCGAAGGGGTATAGTGTTTTTTGTTCCCATTTTGGTGTGTTTTGTTCCCGTGGTGTTTCCCTTTCCCGGAATGGTGTTTTTTGTGCCCGCAGGTGTTTTATGTTCCCGCAGGTGTTTTCTGTTGCCGCTAGTGGGGTGTTTTTTGTGGCCGCCAAGGTGTTTTTTGTTCCCGGCAACGCCGTCAAGGTGTTTGTTGTTCCCGGCAATTGTGATCCTGCGTGCCCGTTGGTTGTTGGCGGTGCGTTGATATGGCCAGCAATGAAACACACATGTCGCGCGAGTAGAGAAAAGCTGCTGCGCCCGTAACCTCTTGAAGGACAGCGCAATTGAGGAGATATGTCGGTGTGACTTCGCCCGGCCAAACAGTTCCACGCAAAGAGCACGCTCCACGCACAGACCCGCGTCTGGGAATGGTATGGAAGGGTAAGGGGAAACATTGCAGCTGGAGTAGATTTCGTGTGGTGTGAGGGCACGTCTTGGTACATGAGGGTAGAGTGTGTTGCACAAGCTCGGCCAAGTGGCAGCAATGGTATAGCCGTCGTCGAAGACCCAATGGGGGGTGCACTTCACTCGGCCACCGCCACCGCTTCAGCCCGAACTCCAGGCCCGAACTCCCACGGCCTATGGTGGTGCCAGTGGACCTCATCGAGCAACTTGGTGACCAGCGACACTGGGACCATCCACCTGGGTGTACTGGAGATCTAAACAGATAGGCAGTCCATTGAGGTCGGACACCCAGACAGGACGGTCCTGGTATGTTCCTACATCGGGGTGATTTTCGGGGTCAAGATAGGCATCAAAGAACACAATACATGGATGGTCTGGGATAGGGATTCCCAAGCAGAACCACCTCGTAACCAACCCCGGTAGGCCGGGTGAATTCCGTTCTCTCTCATTCTTCTTGTGGCGTGAGAAGGCATGAAATCATGGAGGACAAAGCCCGGGTGTGGCACGGAACCCCCATATAGGATAGAGGATCCACGGTCGCCTCGCAGGATGGAGTGAGCTGGATTGAGGTAGTATATATTATATATATAATATAAGACACATGTTTCAACAGAACATCTCAGAAACGTACAAACGTACCTTGATTTACTTCAGCTTTCGGGACGTGCCCTGAAAAAACGTGACTCTGTTCAACTCGATTTCGGTCAACTTTTGGGGGCCCAAAGGATCAAACCTACGAAGTTGTCCACCACGTCACGGTGCCTGAGTCGAACTCCCAGGAAGCACAAACTCCTCATGAGCATGGAGGCTGTGGTCCGGATCTTCGATCACAGGGCTTGAGGAGGCTCTCCAAAGCCCAGGAGGAGTCTTGCATCTAAATCAACCTTAAGCATCCTTAAGCTTCTTCCCTTGGAATCCACCAAAAGGGGGCCTTTCCATGGCTTTCCATGACTTCCCATTTTCACATCGTCATAATCCATCGTCATCCATCATTCAAATCGATCTAAGACTCTAAGACCTTCCACTTTTTTTCGTCTCGTCCTTTCGCCTCGTCCTTGCGCGACGCCGTCCGACCGTCGCGTCCGACCGTCCAGGTCTTAGATCCTTGGCCCCCGGCAGCTCCGGGCCATAGCGAGCTGCAGCGAGTGCGGAGGACCGGACGTGACTCTGCCGGGGTGGAGACCGTGAAGGTGCGGAAGGTGTGGAGTTTCGTTGCATTCTCTTACCCTAGACCTCCAAGACCATGAACAAATTCAGGGTTGTTGGAAGCCTAGGGTTGATGTTTGGAGTCCATGCAACATGAGTCGTTACATACCATGAAACATGAAGGTGCGTCCGGGAATGTGTCAAGAGATTTACTTCATTTCGAACTTGATTTTTTGGAGTGAGTTAGTTTCTCCCAGTTGTGCTTTGCTGGATTTCTTAGTAGATACATGCACCGGGGGTTTGCTGTTATTTTTAGGGCATGTGTTTGCACCGTTTGACCTGTGGGTTCCTCAGTTGTCCCGTTCATACCACAAGTCATCCCACCGACAAAGTCAGTAGCTTCAGTAGGAGAAGTTCTCTTTTCCGAGATACCGCGTGAACCAAAGTCTTCACCCTTCAAAGGGATCGGTCCTCCTTTTGGAGACTGTTAGACCAGTCTATGTTCGGTTCGGACTAGTGGTGCCACCGGACGAAGCGTTTCGACCGGTTCGGTAGCTTTTCACGCTCCGCGCCGCCCCACGTGCTCGAGGAAATGGGAAGGCCTCCATCGGAAGCCGCGTGGATCCACCACGGAGGTGCATGGACGTGGGGGAGGCGTTGGGCGGGGCGGGGCGGGTCAGGGAGGAGGTGCGGTTGAAGGATGATTTCGTGGGGAATGGTTGAAGGATGTGTGGTCTGAAGAGATCTCAGAGGTGGAGGAGCTTTAGAAAGCCTCAGTTGTTGCAGAATTCTTTCTCTTTTGATGGATTTGGTATTTTCTATATTCATGTCTTCTTCCTACGGAAGACAGTTCAGTGATGAAGGTATAGGATACACTCTAATACTTCCAGCTCATCGTTCCAGGTGCCCGTGCTCGGTCGGACGCGCGGGGCGCGTGGACGGAGCCAGGTCTTGGCTCTTGTGGAGGCTACGGCAGCGGACCTGCGACCGCTGCGGTTGCCGCTGCTCCCCGCGCGGGGAGACCCACCGAGGAGTTTTGGGAGTGGTTGTTGGAGTCATCAAGTGGGGTGGACAAAAGGATGGACATATCAAGAAACAAGAGGAACACGATGGAACATATTACTTGAAACAGATGGAAAGAGTGGGAAAGGACTTCTTTTTGTGTTTTTGTTGTCACAGTTTTCCCTAGTCGCTCTCGCTTTCAATTTCGGTCGTTTCGTTTGAATGCTGACACCCAACACGTAGATACGCATGAGCTTGCCAGCCTATGAAGCCCCGCCCAAGAGGCACAGGTATGCTCGGTGCCAGTTTGTCCGAATGTCATTGAGCCCTTGGATTCGTTCTGCTACGCTGTTTGCAGAGGACCCGCCTGGAGACCGGTTTTTTAAAAGAGATCTCACTGGATACACCAACAACCAGAAAACCAATGCTTGTTCCGGCGCCAGCTTGAGATCCTCTACATCCAAAGTGGTCTGGGTGTTTCACCATAGCTCTGAGCCACTTCGGCACTGAGCCTTCACCGAGGTCCCCGAAGGGGCCTTTGGTCTTCTCGGCCAGGACGGGCGACCCGGGGACCGCGCGGTCGCGACCCGGTGGGGCCGGGGTCGCAGGGTTTCTAGAGTTCTACACCTTGCTGGTTTATTCAGCTGTTTTGTTCAATGATTGGAGCCTGCAACATTTTGCGCCACAGAGATTTGGATCGTCCAAAGAGGAATTGGATAGGTTCGTAGATGAATGTGGTTTCAAGCTCCAGTCAGAGAGTCGATGCTGGGCCCGGGTTCCTTGTTCATCGACCGGGTCGTTGATTTCTTCGCGACCGGGTCGCACCGCTCAACTCCCGGAACTGCGCAGTTTTCCTGCCAGGCTTAGTGGTGCTCACCCAGAGAAAGGCTGGTGGAGAAGCATGGAAAGGGTGAAGGGCCTGCCGCAATGTAGCATCTTGATTCATAAACCTCGCGATATGAAGAGGCTTTACAGGTTTTACCTTTTTCAGGTTGTGGCTCGGGCACACATACGCACTACTTGCAAGGGGGAACATCCACGGCGTTTAGGGGAAGGCCATGGAGCTTTCAAGCACTTTGCGACAGGACACGGAACCTTCCCTGCTTGGGTCAGAGCCTCCTCAATTTGCAAGCTTAGCCACTATTTCTTCCAAGAGAACATGCCTGTCCAACTTGTGGACTTTTGACTCCTTTTATATACATGTCAAAGATTACATGAACGCGGACTCTGAGAGCTTGGAAGGCCGTTTCTGGCTGGAATCTTAAGGCTCTTTCCAAGCTGCACTCTTTACTAATTCCCTTCCTTGGAAGAAAGGTTGCCTAGAATTGACCTCAAACAATACCTATTCCAGCCCCAAAAAGGCCAGAAAAAGGCGATCTAGACATGGCCACCGGGCTCGACTCGATCTCTCGCGGTCTCGCGCAGATCGGGACTGGGCGATGGTGCGCCGGCCGTTGGAGGAGGGCGAGGTGGACGCTTGGAGCGAACGAAGGAGGTTCGGCGTCGACGGCTGGCGCTTCCCGACGCGATAGAGAAAGAGGAGAGAAAGAGACAGAATGAGACAAAAAGACAGAAAAGGACCGAAGACGGTTCACTGGTTCTCGAACTTTGCATGAATTTGCAAGGCTAGCACTGGGGAGACCTCGGATGGCCCGAACACCATGGAAAAACGTACCACCTTGTTCTTCCAGGGTGACCGGACTTGATACCCCTGGACCAAGAGGGTTGGATGGTTTGGCAATGTTTGGTCACTTAAGTGTGGGGTCGGTCGGGAGCCGTGTCACTTTGAAGGCGGCAGCTGATTCTTTTGGGTAGAGGTGAACCTTTGTTGACATACTGAACATGCCTGATTGCCCCAAGAAGGGTTCCTATGGTCATATCAAATCCTTAAGAATGGTGCGTGAAATGAGTCACCAACTGGATGATGTGGGAAGCACCCTGGATTGATGGTAACGGACACGCTGCCCCTCCTTCCCGCGGAAGACCCGCGGCGCCAGAGATGTGCTTGTTGCTTGGGTCGCAAAGCCCATCCAACACCTTTCTCGTCTCATTCCACACCTTTTGTGCTCAGCGACGCTCAGAGCAGAGCAGAGACCATCATGACCCATCCGCAGGGATCCGCAGGTTGGGTGGCAACAACATGAAGCAACCGTTTGCATCCCTCCCATCACAGTACTTTGGTGCCCAGGACCCCTGCCAGATCTACAGGCGATCGGCGGGCTGGAAGCTGGAGCTAGAGCCGATCGGCTCTTCAAAGCGATCGGGGTCTGAAGTAACTGATGGGGGAAACACACCCAGCTCCAGTGGTTGGCTTGGTGATCAGAAGCACGCGGCACGGCTCGTTGGCTCGCGTGTAGGGAGACCCCCCAGGACAGGACATTGCGGGAAGAGTCAGATCCAAAGGCTCCTCGGGCCGCTCCAGTTCGGTGCGGTTCTGGGGGCAACTCATGGGTAGACTGGTCTATTTCCCTTTTTTGTAGGGGGTCAAAGTGAGAGGTCTCCCCATTTCAATAAACACTCATAATGTAAACCTTCACAAGGGTAGGTTCATTGTGGAGCGGGTCTATGTTCGTTTTCGGCCAGACACCCGGGAGGCCGAGCCACAGCGGACGAGATCGCATCCGCTTCCGCACCTGTTCCAAGCGAATTCCCTGAGCTCAGGCACGGGACCTGAAAAGATGGCGGACACTTCAGAGCGGTTGATTTACTAATATAGCCTCCAACCTAGTAGGGATGGCCTCCAACCTATACAATAGCGTGATGGCCTCCAACCTAATAGCGATTTACCAATATTCCTATAGCGATAACGGAGCAGCGCTTTTGGAAAGGTTCCGCTTGTTTTCAACTTCGTGATGGTTGATTCTAGTCACTCACTTCATCTCCAGATGTCCTCGACCTCCTCAATGGATGAAGAAAAGATACACTCGCGGATGTCATCCATCCCTGGGTAGATTACTTTCTTGACCAACTTTCTTGGGAATCAGGGTGCAAATCCAGAATCCCCAGTCAGATCATGTGTTCTCCACCTGCTGGGAGACCGAGACTAAGCGAGCTGCAAGCACCTGGTCAGAGGCGTACAGTAATTGGTCCAAATATGTTCAGATTGGGAATTCAAGAAGATATTTATAGTCCCTTCTCTGCTTCGCTGTTAAAACTGATGGCATTTCGGACCATCCCAATTCTTTTGGACGTCCCGGTCTAACCGAAAGGAAGCAAGTGAACCAAGGCCGCGTGAACCAAGGCCGCGCCAGTGGGGTCGCCAGTGCTCATCCCGAAGCGTTCCGGCGGCCGGCAGCCCGAAGAACCCGTCCATGCCAAAGGCACTGGCGAAAGACTCAGCTCCATCGCTGGAAAAAAAGGACAAGAGGTGCTGGGCTTCGGCTGTGAAGTGTAAGAGGCTTTAAACACATATTTTTTTAAAACACACATCCATGAAACCTAACCCAAGATATATATATATATAGGTTCTTCCCTCTGGAATCCGAGGCACAGGACCTGCGGGGGTTGGTGTGGATGAAGGGTCTACTGGCAGAGGGAGGAGGGCTTAAAGCGGTGATGAGAATCAGCCATAGAGCGATCAGCTGTAGGCTACATGTTCCTTTTTTTCCAAACAGAGAGACTCCAGAACAAGATCTATCAAAGCCCCGGTACTCGACCCACCCCCGAATCAGGAGAACGCCTCTTCTTTTTCGCGGAAGTACGTTGTCTACTTAGTGCCTTAAGGACGGTTTCATCCTTTTCTTATTACTTTCTCATGATCATGAGCTCTAAGGGCTCCTTATCGCAAAAAAAATGGAAAAGGCAATTCAGGTTCGGGATGGGACTATGATGGACTATGCCTTTCCCTTCCTGTGTGTGATTGTTCTCACCTTGTTCCTTCTACAGCTAGATCATGATTGTCAGTAGAGAACGGAGGGGTGGTCTTTCCCTCTCAACCACGGGCCATAGCATTGCAACAAAAACCGTTGTTCATCGAGTCAACAACTGCTGCGGCAGACTACGTCGGCGGAACTCCCATTTGTCACTCTCTCTCATTTGGATGGACCGCGGACGAGCTTCCGCCCCCACCTCGCCAGGCCCCCTCGCCTGGATGTTCGGTACAAGTGCAGGCCATCGAATCCGGCTCGTCAAGCCTTTGAGGGTTTGGGAATCGAAGCCGGGGACCACTTGGGTACTACTTGGGTACTACTTGGGTGCCACTTGGTAGATTGCTTTGGAATGACCAAATTCGGATTTGAATTGCCAGTACAATGGTAGACCCTCCAAATACTACCCGGAATGGACGATGTGGGTCTAAAGCATCGGATACACCCAACGGTCCAACGCTGGCACTTCCGAACGTGGCCAGGCGAACGCGGGGGAAGACCGAACGCGTGGTGTTGGCTGCATGGACCGAATCAATCAGTGGTGAACGGCTGCTCCTTGGAACGCCCCTGCGGACTGGGACCCTGAAAACCAGTTTGCAAAGGAAACGCGTTTGGCACGGGGTCGATGCTCTCCATGCGAGTTTTGGGGGCGTTGGTGGATCCTCCCTTAGACGCCGAAGCGGACTGCCCACCATTTTGCAGTGGATCTGCGGTGCCTGTTCCTTGCCAGATGCCCAGCCATCTTCCGGGGCAGGGAGCCTCGATTCCAGAGATGTTTGCCTTGATTTGGAGACCCACCGGTGTTACCACGCCATAGGTCCATAGGTGTTGGTGTTGCTTTCTATCAAAATCTTCAACAGCAATGGGAATGTCCTTAGACTGTAGACTGCCAGTTTTGCAGGGGCTTCTTGTGTTGCAACTTGTCACCAACAACATCGGATGTTGCAAAGAGGTCGAGGTCGAGGTCACTCCAAGATGATCACGTTCATTTCCTCCGACCCATTGTGAGTCTCTCATGCAGAGCTGGAGCCGCTGGAATTTCTCTCATGCAGAGTGGCTGAGCGGCTGAGCCTGTAGGTGTTCGGTGTTCGGCCAACGAAGTGTTCGGTGTTCGGTTAGTGTGTCACAAAACGACCACTTCGCGGGCAAGGAGGCTGAATTTTAGACGCATCACGCATCACAGCTCTCGAGCTGTGCAGACATGTGAACCCCACTTTTCAGCCCATAGTATTCATAGATTCATAGCCATGTTTGTTTCCAGTAGGACATACAGCAGATATGTACCTTCCCTTTCCATACACTTGGAGCGAAGAAGACCGTGCAATGGCGCCGTTCTCCACCTTCGCGCGGTTCGACGAAGGTGGTGGGCTTTTGGGCAGGCACCGACGGGCGTCATGAGACCTAGCGACCTTCCTGACGTCCAAAAAAGTTATGGAACACAGGAGAGGCAGAGAGACCTTCCAACTGGGACCGTAGTGGTCAAGATGGGATGGGGTGAAAATAGAAAGGGCTGTGGAAAAACCTCTCTTGGTCCCATTTGGAAGAGTCCTTTTCTTTTTTGGGGAGCCGCCTGACATGGAAGTGGTGGACTCAGGTGAACTCGTCCGATTCTCAGAGCTCTTGAGATGCTAAGTCTGCTTTGATCTACATTGGACATTATACGGAAACAGGGCGAGGTGAGCTGAATGACATACGATTTCAACTCACTCATTCATGTCCAGTTTTGAGTTACGACACCTGAAAGCCACCCTAGAGTTCCCTTTCCGTTCACCCAGCGGCTGCACTGGCCGCTGCCGGCAGGCGCACCGACGGTCGCCGCCCAGCTGCGAGTGCGGCTGCTGCGCGTGGCGTGCTCGTGGCGGTTCGCCGGTGCTGGGCGATGCGGCGATCCGGTGCTTTGAATGAGCAGATGGCAGAGCCTCACGGACCGAGAACTTCGAACACCGACGGAGCAAACGGTCCCATTGTGTTGGTTGGAGACAGATGAGACAATTCATCAAACTTTGTAGATAGTAGAGCGCAATAGAGTTCACATCCAATCTGTGGGCAACATTGAAGGATGACCAGCATTGCCGATGGTGGGTTACTTGCGTATGGGGACACTTTCCAAATCTATTTTGTGACTCAGTCGCCATGTCCTTTGGCGAGACAGTTCATGTTGAAACCGCAAAAAAAGCATCCTCGCGTCTTGGGCTTTGCGCCCTAAACCCTAAAACCCTTTCTTCCAGAGTCAACTGAGTCAACATCATGTTTTCTTCAGCCACCTCCGGATCTTCCAAGGCCGACCCGAGGTCTTGGTTTAGACAGACCGGTCCGCCCGGTCCCGCGGTCCGCGGTCACGCACGAAGCATCACTTCGCACGAACCGGTCTGATCGACGAAAGCCCGGTCGGATCTCCGTGAGAACGAAGAGTCGCGAGGAGATCCGGTCTTGCCAGCGGCTCTTGAACTCCTACTCTGAGTCCTTCCAGTGGCGATTGGCCCTCGAGCTCTTGCGTTCCTTGTGAAGAAGACTTCAGGGGGATGAGAGCGTCTGAAGGGCTCTTGATTGACCTAGCCTTCAGGGATCCTTTGAGTCATTTTGAGTTGACCTAGACATTGATTCATGAGAAAAGCAACGCTGTGGCCATATTTTGGCTGTCAGCTCTTCCATGCAATGACGCCATGACAATTCGACTTCCCAATCCTGCAAACCAAGAGGGAGAGGTTTTCTCGACATGGCGTGGACATGGCGTCGACAGGTCACGGTGTAAGACAAAAACACATCTATCTTTTGGCATTTACCCGCGGGAGGGAAGCTAGAGACGGAAAAGGACTGAACAACGAATTCTGGGAAGAACGGGTCAATGAAATCAACCCCAGATATTATAACCTGATTTGACCCCTTGTTTTGGAGCCTGGTCTTTTCCTATCAAAACACCGGTCAAACGGGTCCCCCAGGCCTTCTGGGCCCGATGGGCAGCGATGGGCTGCGCGCTGATGTGATGATCTTGAACTCGGCCGCTTTTGGCCGCACAACTTGTGGACCGTGCGGGTGCGGGTCGAAAGTCTTCCAAGCAGAAGAAACACATGTCTGACAAGGACTACGCGCTTGTTTACCAAAAGCTGCAAAAGCAAGCCGGATGTATAAGATGTATAGCCAAACCTGCTGAACACCATCCTTTCCAGCACCATTGGGACCATACTAGCGATGGCATCCAAATTCGGTTGGGAACTTTGAGGTTCTGAACGTGTGTGGCAAATCCCAGAGGCCCGGCTTGGGCGCGTGACGCGTTACGCATCGTGACGCGTTAACCACACGGGGTGCGTGGGGGATCGGGCGGTCGGGACCCTGGCATCAGGCCTCGGCAGTGTAAGAAGTACCCTAAGCTGCTCACTGGAAAACCATTTTTTTGAGGGAAGTAGTGTTTTTTAGCGCCCATTTTCCAGGTCCATGTTAATTAGTGAGTCGGAATGTAGCATGAAGGGAGCCATACCCGACCATTCTGATGCAAGAAGATTCATTAAATACATTAACAGACGAAACGCAGAACTCTCCATCCGTGACGTGGCTTTGCCTGATTTTGCCCGTGTTGTAACACGCTCCTTCCACGTTTCACTCGTGGATTCGAGCGCGAGAGGTAGTAAGAAGTAGTAGAAAGAGGAGCAATGTGACGAGCTCTGACATCAGAAGAGGTGAAACTGCTCATTGCTCCCCATGTGTGATCTGTGTAGACGTGTATACTGTATAGTGTATGCAGTGTCGAGCTTGTGGAACTCCGCACACTCTCTGCTGAGACTCTGGGACCAC